TTTCAATTACTCAAATTTCCAATGTCCGCGGTATTTTCAAATATTCAAAAATACTCGATCTTCCAAATCCAAACAAAACACTTCTAAAAAACTTCCCCTAAACGTCACGCATCGAAACATCACACAACCAACAATCCTCATTCAGCTCCACGATCCAGCAACGTTTATCTCGATTTTCCGCGACGGCTATCCGTCCGCGTAACTCGTCGCGTTGCTTTCTCCTCGACGCACGAGCCTCACCGTGGTTACATTCTCCGTGGCGTTTTCATTAGTTCTGCCTCGGTCGAATGCAAATTGCGTGGCGATCATTTGTCCGGCAACAAAGCGTCGTTAGCCATTTTTTTCCCTCCTTCTATCCCGCTTCTTTCTTCTTCTTTTTCCCCTCCATCCAACACCAACTCTTCGCGACGTCCAGACCTTTTTTCTCCCATTTTTCTTTCTTCCGTCTCTCTCACTCTCTGCCCGGCGTAATATATCATCGATAGCGGTGATTCACGCGCGACGATAAGCATTATTCCGAGCGGCAATTAGCGATCCACTGTATCGTAACTCGAATCCGTCATCGTCATCCTCTCTTCTTAATATATGTATATACAGAGGATGGCGCGAGCAGGAAGGATCGTCGCGCCAGGTTCACCTGTATAATTAGCCGCAATTGAAATTTCATCTTTCTCCGTTCACCGTCAAATTACTTTCTCTGGTGGCAAATACGAAACCACGAGTAGACCTCTTCTACGATTCGAAAACTTAATTGCAACCCACAATTTTTCGTATAATTTCACAGAAATTACTTTCCTTAAACCCTTTCGCAGATTTTAACGCGTAACGTGGGTGACTGATGGTAAATTTCGAACCACGGCTGCAAGATTCCTTATTTTCGCCGTGTCGTTCTAAAATTCGGTTTGTTCGATTAAAGTGGAAGCGCGTAAAGGGTAGAATTAACCCTTTGCACTCTTTCAGGCGACTAAGAAGCGACATTACATTTACCATTAGCGGCAACTCTAAGGATATTTTCCAAGACAGCAGGTCTATCGACCTCCGTGAATTGTTCGCTACATGCTTAGAGATCTCAGCAGTGAAATAGTTCGAAAGAACCAACTTCCGATAAAAATATGTAAGAAATGCGAGATTCCGGCGGCAAAGTGGTGGCCTGGAATTTGTCACCCAGGAAGAGAAAGCGCGCGGGTACCTGAGGGTGCCATAAACTAAGCCCTTTCCCCGGAAAGTCGAACGAGGGGGCTCCAACGGCTTTTCGGAGCAACGTGGGATACGACGCGGAAAGGACACTCTGGAAATAGCCGTCGAGCAAGACGGACGCCGGAATCCTTAAGAATCGCTTAGGAATACAGAATAAATACTTTTTGGGATACCACACTATCCTGACTTTAATTCTTTTTTTCAAGTGGTGCTTACAGTTAGATATAACAAAAATGAATCTAACGCCTTACTAGGAATTTAATCCAATAGAAATGATTTGGGCTCAATTAAAATTGAATATAAGAAGAAAAAATAGATGCCCGAAATTTCATCAACAAGTTGTTGAATTAATAAAAAGAGAAATGGACAGTATTAAACCGCATAATTGGAAAAAAACTGTGAATAGGGTGATCAAAATCGAAGAAGAATATCAACAATGAAAAGGAAGACGAACTCAATAAATTAGAAAACAAGAAAGAAAAATTGTAATGTGATTAAGAATTTTTTCTTTGATATATCATACAAGATACATTGACGCTAGATACAAAAATTCTTCGTACGGTCCTGACAATGGGTTCAAGTACTTATCTGCTCGTATTTCTGTCAATTTCGGGGTCCCGGCAGCTAAAACATGTTTACTTTGACGCCTAACCGATTTTACGACCTCGCTATATCGTGGCCCCGACTATACATATTTCTTTTGCATACGTTCGAATTTACCAAAAGGCCCTTCGGTCCCAAGCGGGGTCGTAGACAATATTAGGGCGTTGCGTAGGAGCATTCTCAGTCCGTAGACAGTGCTCTTACCATCAAGTGGAGAAGCGAACCTTCCTTGTGTCTAATAAAAGTTTACACTTCAAAATAAGGATTATTAATTATTTAACAAGCAATAACTCCCATAATCCAGTAACGAAAGGGTGAAACATTTGAATCAAACAGATAAACTGTGTGTCTTGAGGCCAAAACTGGCCCCTAAACCGTGGCTTCTTTTTTTCTCTTTTTCAACATTTTTCACGAATATCAGACGAAGAAGAAGTGGAA